TAGTTAGTGTGAGTTTTTAATTAATGTTAATATTTATCATATAATTTGCTCATGGCCTTAAAACCGGGAGATTCTTTTTAATATGGATATGCTTTTGTTGCTTGTCATTGGATTTAGTTATATTTGGAGTCAGGGTGTTGCCTGTACTTTTGGGGCTTTAGGCTCTTCTCGATCTAATACTTTGTCTGTTTTAGGTTATTGTCATGGATTATGGGATGAAGGAGAAGAACCCCATCAACAATGTGCGTTTCTATTGCAAGAACGATGTGACTAAAGCCATCCAGATACGCAAGAATCAGGTCAGAAGTAAAGCAAGATGCGAAAAATTCAATTCTTGAATATGTGAGCACGTTTCCTTTGGTTTTTCATTTATTCTTCTTTTAAAAAAGAGTGTCTCTTTCCCTCTGCCTCTGTAATTTGTGGCTGCTGTTGTTCTTGTCAGGTGTCTAAATTTCTTCCAGAGCACTTTGTTGAGCAGCTGATCAGGGTCTACTGTAAGAAGACAGATGATAACACTTTGGAGGCTGCCAAGAAGCACTTTGTTCAGTGGTGCATGGACAGGAACTTCTCAAAGCCTCAGGTACTGTTTATCTGCTGCACTGTAAAGAATTGCAGTTGAATGCAGCGACAGTGGTTAAAACATTGAATGGAGTCACATAATGAATAGGTCTGTGTTGTTACCTCTCTGCCACGCCTTCTAGCCTTGCAGTCGTAATGCAAGAGTCTATGTGGATTGCATGGGCTTAAGTGCTAATTGCTTTTATCCATATGTTATTATGGGTGGATAAAGGCATGTGTAACAGTTGTCCTCTCCTTGCGGCAGTCATACAATTTAACTCCAAGTTTCGGCTCCAATTATCTGGTGCTTCAAATTCTAAAAAGAGGCTATTAGTAGCATGTTATATCTGCAGAGTGTGCAGGTAAGTTATATTAGATTATTAGCTGATTCAGTCAAGCTATAACAGATGTTTTTAACATTTGTATCAAATGAGAGTGTTTAAAAAAAAAAAATCTTATTTCCTTAATCAGAAGTTCCAGTACATTCACAGAGCTTTATATGTCCCAGATAACTGTTTAGCTGCAACCGTGGGCTTTTTGTTTTCTGGCTTTGGGACACTGAACCAGCTCTGCACCCTTTCCAGGAAACTTGGAGAGGCATGTTCTTTGTGGACTTGGAAAAGGCTTGGTGTATCCTGTGGGAGTGTATATCGGGCCCATAAGGGCACAAGACTGGTTTCCATTGTTGGTATTAAATCAGACTTGTTCAGTGAGGGCGTAGAACTCTGTCAGACCTTCTTTTTGTAATATATTCTGTTCATCGCTCTTATGGACAGAATTTCTTGGCTGTGCCTAGAAAGTGTGTCCATAAAACACTGGAAAGCTTTCCAGTGTGGTGGCCTCAGGATGGAAGTCAGAGAACTGCTTCTCTACTCCTCCATGACAAAAGGAGCCAATTAAAAAATAAAATTGTACACAGAACTTTTAAAAGACTGTGTGGTTTGCTTGTAGGTTAGATATAATGCCACTTCTGTTTTTTAACATAATGAACATACAGCTCATTAGCATTCGTGTTTACGAAGTATTATGTATGAATTTGAAACCGATATGCTGTTAAATCCGGAATAAGTAGCATCACTTAACAGTCAAACTCCCTCTCGTGACTTGCATATCATTCTTTCCACTGCAGCTGGCAGCTCTTCATACACTGTACCAATAGCAAACAAAAGCCCTTTTCATGAAGGATTATTATTTCCAGGGTTGGTCATGTGACTTAGAAATGTTTTGTCACGTATTTGAGCTTGTGATTCTGTAAAAAAAACAAAAACAAAAAAAAAGTCTCCATGCTTTGAAAGGACCAAAACCTCATTTGCATCCTGAATATTTTCCAAAAACCAATATATTCTAAAACAAACTCCCTAATTTTGTTATTCAATATACTCAAAATGATGATAAAGACAATCTGAAACCTTGTGGAGGGAAAACAAAGAGCACAAATAGCTGAGATGCCATCTGTGAGTTATATGGTTGGGAATTTGTGGTGCAGTTTGTACAGAAGAAGTAACGAACATGTAAATAAGGCTAAACCTGGTGACGAAATGATGAAGAGCTTGGGATTTAGCAGCTAAAAAGCCAAATATACAGACAAAAAAAATTGAGGGGAAATGTAAATACTGAGTTTACACTTGCCACATGGCCAGAAACTACACTATAGATGATCTATAAAACTGCTCTGACTGCTAGATGATTTAGTAATCAGCTGTTTTCTAAACAGCAGGCTGAAGTAAATAAAATGTGCTAACAGCTGGCTCAGACCCTGAACAACCAGCCAATATTTTTTTTTATGTATCTATTTATACACTTATAATTTGCAGTACCGTAGTGTAATGGCATCTCTCCATATTAGAAAGGACTTTTGTTGCTGAAGAGAAAGCAACTGTTTGACAGCACTTCCACCGACTAAAAGCAGAGACATTTTCTCTATGCATTAAAGGAAGTGACAGATCGAGATATTTTAGTTTTAATTTACATCTACTATCAGTACTAATCATATAGAACATGCTCTGAGGCCTTGTTACTTTAGCATTTTTGCATAATTTAAAAAGGCATAAGTTGCCTGCTGCTCCTGTCTTTTGCTTAAAGACTGTAAGTCAATGTCCTAGAAAGGAAGAATTGTCTTCCAGATCCTTCAATTACTGCAATCACTTGTTTATTTCCACTGCTCGTCTCAACAACACTCTTTTGTTTCTGTTCTCACGCAGGATGGAGACATAATAGCTCCAGAGCTGACTCCTCTGAAACCCAGCTGGTCGAACAACGACAACGATAGTGAAGAGGGCGCATCCACAGAAGCAAACTGTGTCAATTTAAATGGAAAAAAGACGGCCAAAACTAAGCTTTTCTAGTGAGAGAGGGAGATTTTACATATGGAGAAAGATCAGATGAAACAGTGTGCTATATTTTTCTGTAAGGAGTGTGCTGATGAACACAGCAAGTTGTTTTATATCAAAAAGGTTTAAAATATTCAAAAAGAGAAGAAGCATAGATGTCTTTCAGAACTTCTCAGGGTTTTTTGTTTGTTTGTTTTTTGGTTCAGTTTTGTTTGTGAATATGGTTTTAATTTAGACTTCTCTGGGGGGAAAAAAGGTCTTATCATGTCATTAGATACCAAATGATGAATCAGGTCAGTTCAAATGTTACACAGACTACATTTCAGGGCAGTATATCTTATAGCTGGGATTTAGGTATTTTATTCAGCTTCAGCTAAAGTTTGAGGCTGTTTTCAGAACTCTCAGGCTTTCACGCACAAAATGTTACATATGAATGTGTGATGATATTTAAAGTGAGCATTTGTTTTTACTCTTGGGGTTGTTTGGAGAGTTGGTTTGATTTTTACTTTGAATGCGTGTGTTTTTCTCTATTTTTGAGTGTTTTGTGGTGTTTTATTTATTCTCCTTATTGTATCTCAGATTGCTCACTGTCATCTTCACCTCAAAGTTCAGTGCGACATTTTATTGGTAATGTGTTTGGGATGCCTTTTAAAATGATTCTTCTCTTGCCACAATATGGGGCATCATCATCAGATTTTTGCTGTGTTTAAAAATACATGTATTTTTAAAACATGCGATTTAAAACAATCACAATGATGGAGATAATCCTGTCAAAATAAATACTTTCCTTCAACCATGTCCTTCTGTATGAAATTTTTATTGAACACTAGAGGGCAGCATACTCCCAGTCATGGCAAGGCAAGGAGTTTAATAAGTAAATGGCAATTTTGTGGTGTGATGGATCCAGCTCAGTGTATGAGCATGCAAATCATATGTCAGATGGCTGGAGTGCAGCACCTGGGTTCAACTGTGCCTTCTCTCTCTACCCACAGTCCTGTCTGTTTATTGACTAAAATTAAAGAAATAATAATTATATTTCCATACACATAGAAGCTTTATATTGTATTGAATTGAGCTCTGAGTTGTGGATGTGGCAAAAATTGTTTTGCAATACATATGTAAATGTCAGATGTTTTTAAAAAAAAAAAAAAAAACTTAGCCCAAACTGCAAAACATTTTAAGCCAAGAGTAACAAGTTAATATTTACCAATAAAAGCAGAATAAATGTTTAAGGAAGTCTAATGTTCCCATAACTAAACTAGGCTTTGTTTGCTGTCATATCTGCCTATCTCACAATAATTTTAAAAAATGTCTTTTAAACATAAATTTAGTACTTTGGATAACATTTTGCATAAACTAAGTCTAAAGCAGTGTAAGCATGGTAACTTAAGGAGGAACTTTATACATGTAGAACACCTTTGTGAGAGCACGCTACAAACACTTTAGACATCATCAGTACTCCCAAGATCAGTACACACCTGTTTTTTTTTTCTTTGTTTATATTTTTGTTTTTTAAATTATACAATAGACCAAATATGATAGATTTTTTTCATTCATTTACAGAATTATAATTTTTCAGATATTTCATTGCAAGCACAGCAAGGTCTGCAGTTTTTCAGTGTCGCTAAACAGATTTTGTTCTGAATAAAACAAACATGGTAAGACAGCAGTATCAATAGATAGATAGATAGACCAACTTAATACTTCGCTGAATAGTGGAAAAAGTGGACTTTCTCAAAATAATACATCCAACAAATTTAAACATGATTCATGAAAAGTATTGGCACATAGTTCTAAAATGTATTTACAAACGTTTTAAATGCATTTTTTGCAGAGTTTATCTCAGTCTTGTCAAAAGTGTACATTTAATGTTATAGTGTGGGTTGTTTTTAATCCACTGAGTCGTTTTATTTCTTTCTGATAGCGGATCATATCCCGTCCATGGTTCTCCGAAGAATAATAGTAAAAATAGAAGAAGAAAAGTGCTTGACTCGTGCATTCAGTAACGGGGCACTGACTGTTTTGATTACACAGCCAATAATATTGCAGTCATGTGGTCTTTCTGGTGGCCTCAGAGTCGGCAGCACAATCATGTGTTGTGATATTTGCGGCTTCAAGATGAACACATTTTATCGGCGTCTTCTATAGCCTAAATCACATGATAATCTAAGATTATCCGCCTGTTTAAGCAGGTGGGATTGACTGTTTTGACCCAAATTTAAGAATGGTTCATCGTCTGAGTTATCCAAAAGTTTTTCGATGTAACAAAAGTTTTTCACTGATGTAACAAGGAATGTTCCAGGTTTATTGATGTATTTATAGTAGTCATGTTTCAGCTGTTTTAATAAGAAATATTTTTTAAATAATGAATCGGAAAATTATTTCCCTGCTTATTAATATTTTTTGCGGTGCCAGATTAAAGTAGTTGTTTTGACGTGTCATTAGTTTCTGTGAAAGATTCTCTTTAAAAAGAAGAGAAGTATTATAGCGCCATCTGGTGGGTTGTTTATGGACCCATCAGCTGTTGAGAGAAATAGAGAAGTGAATGAATTGAGGTATTCATTATATTCTAAAACAAAGTGATTGATTTATTATTGAGGAAAAATATATCTGCAAAAGAATGAATCAATCATGAAAAGTCTTTCTTTGCGTGCTGTCAAATATGAAGTTCAGAATCTTCTGTCTTTCTTTTTTTATCTCTTTAGATTGATATTTTGTTCTTCATATGATAATTTTGGAATTTGATCAGTTGTTTTGTTTCTTAAATAATTTTTGTGTTCTATGGTACAGTTAGTGCCAATAATGGATGTATTTAAACTGATAAATCTACCTTCTGAGTCAGGATTAGTTTAGGTTTCAGTCTGTGTAATCTTCTGATGATTCAGTACAGATATACCTCTTTGCCTTAAGTTATAGCAGGAAGGAAAGTATTAATAATACACTGTGGAGTCTATTGTTTAATCTATTGTCACCGGGGTTTGGTAAATGACTTTGTAGTGGATATTTATTAGAATTAAACTTGTTTAGGTAAATAAATATTTTGTAAGATTTTAACCAGGAAGCCCAGTCCTCGTCATGAAATAACAGCTACTAATATCAGCTGCTAAATAAGATGTTAAGCATGGAGGAAGACTTGGATTTATTAAAGAGTTCTGAAAAGGGTTTATGAAATAAGTTATCAGATAATAACTGAGGGGAAAAAATTCTTGCAAATTTATTAAAAGTAAAAAGCAAAAATATAACATATTTATAAGCTTAGCAAACCTAATTTCAGACAGTTTCTCCCATTTGTCTTTCCACAACCTTTCGGTTCAATCCTCACTGCATCCACTTGTATTAAACTGTGTTGAACACAAGAGGGAATCATACACTCATCTTTGGCTGCTGATCAGGAAATGCTGCTGAACTTCTTTCAATATAAACAATAATCATGTGATACAAAATGCACAACACTTACCAAAACTCTGTGTTTGTTTATTTTTCACATTTTAGAAATATGGGGACTAAATGTCTCTAAATATTTGCATTTCATGTAGAAAAGAAGCACTTTTGTTCTTTGTGCCAGAAAAAAGTAAACGATTGGTTTGAATTCAAAACTTTACTGATTCACTAAATATCATTTCAGTCATAGTCAGTCTGGGGTCTGACTGTGATTGACTAAAATATATTTTTTGTAATCTTTTTCTTTTTTAACTACCTGAACAACTGGTGCAACAGTAATTGATTAAAAAACAACAACATGGGATGAGCCCCTGTTACTCAACCAGGAAGGTTATCTCACAGGATGTATGCAGAAACACCCGCCCTGATGCACCATGGGCACTCTTCCACATCCTGTGGCACTGCGGCAGGCAAAGAGTATCTGCCACACACACTCACACTGTGCACCGGCAGGACCAAGGCCAACTGCCTGCTAGTATTTTTATAATCTTCATCCTCTCTGACCTGTTGCACCCCTCCTGGCGCCACTGGTCTCAGCCATCCCCCTGTGATGCCTCAGCTTTACACTCATGCACACACATACACACACATGCTCCTGTACACTCAGCAGTCACTCCATGTATAATTGAGACCAGCTGTTGCAAGGTGCCTCTTCCCTTGACCCTATACCCTTCCCTCACCCTGCTGCTGCTGCACTTGCCTTTCTGACTTAAAGCTGTTCCAAAGCCCTCCTCCCCTCCCTTTCCTTTCTCTTGCCTTACTCACCCTCCTCCTATTCCTCCCCCCACATGCCTCCGAGTGTGTTTACTATCAGTTGTTGTGTTGATTGATAAATTGGTGTGATTTTGTTTTTGTTCTGCCGTTTTGTTTTTGTCTTCTCTCGTTGATGATGCCTCTCAAGGAAAAAAATGTTGTTGTTTTTTTTGTTGTTTTTTTAGCTGAAGTCTTATCCTGATACAGATTTTTAAAAATTTAAGAGAAGACATTCAATCCACACATTGTAATAGCCGTTTAGAGTCACGGCAGACTTTACTGATCTCTCAAAGCAAACTTTTTTGGGGGTGGATCTATAACCTCCAGCTTCTCTTTGATTTTGACTAATTTCAGCCCAGTTTAAGTTTAAATTGGTGAAAAGGCTAGCCCACAAACAGCAACACTGTACAGACATTAAATATAATCTGTAGCTTTTTTTTTAATAACAAGTAATTTAAGTTAATTTTTAAGCACATATTTTTAAAAAATCATCTCGTGGCAGATTTAGATTATTTTTTAAGGTTTTGGCCATTTTTGATTAAATGATAACTAAATAATAACTTTTAATTTCTGGATATTTCTGAGGACTATGCAAAACATAATCAGAAGTAACTTTTTCTTATGAAGTAAAGATTTCACATGAAACAGTCACTTTATTTACAAAGTTTTGGCAAACAAAACTCCAGTTAAAGTAATCCTTCCTGTTTGATAGATATCCACTGGATTGAGGTATGTTAGGGAGGTGAGATGTAACTGGCCCACTGGTGACGGCAAACTGCTGCACTGGGTCTGGAATGTGTGGATTTTTGGCAGAGGACTGGAAGAGGCAAGTGGAGGAAGGAGGGTGAGGAGAGGGCGGTAGGAACAGACATGTCAGACTCTCTTTTCCAGCTGGTCGTGAGGGGTCAAACTGTGCGAGGATGTGTGCATGTCATGGCCTCTCATTAGGGGGTGAGACGCTGCGGCTCCAGACCCCCATGGTAGGATTGCTGGGTGAGTCTGCGGTGATCCTGCCACTTTGATGCCCCTGACCCCCACACCCCCCGCCAGGAGGTTAATGAGCCTCAGTGAGCTCCTAAACTATGCTGTTATTGTGTGTAGCTGTGGGTGTCTGTGTTGTTAGATTTGAGCTGCAAAGACCCTCCATAGTTTCGTATCGCATTCTCGTATCGCATTCTCGTATCGCATTCTCGTATCGCATTCTCGTATCGCATTCTCGTATCGCATTCTCGTATCGCATTCTCGTATCGCCCATTTAGTTATATTTGTTGTCTGTAAGCTGCTGTATGTGTCACTGCAATCAATAATCACCATCTTCTAATTTGTTTTTCATCAGCATTTTGGCCATCATAGGACTTGAACACATGGAGTATGCATGGTTAACAAGCATTAGAAATAAAAAGTATGAAAAACTCCAATCATTTTTTTCTCTTTTGTGCTGCCAGTTTAAAGTAAAAGGCTTTTTCTCATATCTTTTGACACAAACATGTTCCAAACCAGTCATATAGAAAGTGAAATCGTTTCCTGATGAGAGCACAATGGTAAGTATGGCAGTGTTATCACACCTGCAGTGTGTGCACAGATCACTCTTTTTTCACCTGCA